TATAGCAATACTTCAGTCAGAAGGGAGAGAGATGCATGTCTCTACCCAAAAGAGGCAATGGCTGGGGAGCCAGAAGCCTAGAGTAGGTGCTCTTGCTTGGCCACAGAAGTTGCCCTGAACTGTGACAAAAACTACAGGATTATTTCGCCCCCTTACATAGCTAACAAGCCGCATAAATAAGATCAGTGCTGTAAAACATGAGTGGCTTTTTAAACTCAAAACATTCAACAAACCAGCTGCCCCTTTGGGATGAAAGACACTGTTATAAATGAAAGACACTGTTGTAAGGTTTTATTAGCAGCATTTACCTGTAGCACTTCTCACAGAGGAAACTGCTGTAGCTATCCAACTGACTTCCCAGTAACAGCATCAGTTATAGTGAGGAGGACTTACGTTCCACTTTTGTTTTTATCTATTCTACTTTACATCATGAAACATTGACTTAAGAAAATATTCCTGAAGCAAGAATGTAAAGATTTCAAAACCACTGACTGAATTCCTCCCTGGGGTAATATCACTAGGTTCAGTAGAATTATACCAGAGATAAATTTAGGCTGATATTGGCATTTCTGCAAAGTTAAGAGATACAAGCTGAAGGGGACCCTTGTTAAAGAGATTGTAGCCCCAAAGCCAACCTAAAATAAAGATAGGGGTTTAAAAATACAATAATGCATTTGAACAAAAGTTTTAACTTCATTTGTTAGCACAGACAAGTTTGGCTACATCACAGTACCAATGGAGGATGAAATCTTGGGGACCATTGAAAGCTTACAATGAAGGGAACCATCAGGATCCAGAGGGACCATGCAAACACTGTGATAATAAAACAGAGTTCTGTGGTGGGATTGTGTAAGCTATTGGAGATCCACTAGGTTTGGTTCCTGTAGGGAGGGCAGCAGGCCGGATGCTACTGTAGACTACAGGCTGCAGAGACGTATCAGCTGTCTCATACCTTGCCTCTGGGCTGCTGGAAAGGGGGGGAAGTATTTATTCCACTCCTTCCCTCAAAGTTGTTCATGTGGGCTTTACATAGAGGACCAGGATTTCATACCCTAACTTCCCTGTATGAGACATGGGGAAGAGAAGGATTAAACAATTCATGTCTTGAAACACTTTCATTTAAAATCATTTTTAATAATTTTTCATTTTGTATAATGTCTTTAAAAGTCTAAGGCCCAGACTCCTTCCTGTATTCAGGCTGTCTAGGGGAACAGCCAGAGTAATGGCTTTCACCTCACTCACTCCATCTCTCTGTGGCCAGCATAGGGCTTGTGGCTGGCTATCCCTCTTCTGTAATGATCCCTGGTTGTTGGAACAGTTCCCACTGGCAGCTGAGCTAAACTGGAGCAGCCTTCAGGCTGCTCTGACTTTTGCTGTGGGACTGACCTGGTGAAGAGCCAGTCCAGGAAAGCCACTTGTGCACTCCTATCCCCTTGGTTGCATAGTGCACTACTTGGCCAGAGCAAAGATCTGGGCCTAAACCATGAAATGAAAGTGTATTTTTCTGGCTTTGAGTACCTATGTATTACCATCCCAAACTTCCACTCTTTTACAATCCTGCGAGTGTATTAGCGATATGAAAATAATGTGAAAGGTAAGCCATTGGGGCTGATGTCTGTGTCAAAAGAGAGCTTTTTGATGTGAGATGATTTTTGAAGTCAAATTATCATGTGTGATGTTGTGTCACAAAGCTTCCTACAAGGTGTTACTGCATAATTAACAGAGGGTGTTAGATGCCCATAAATCTCTAATCCCTAGGTAACCGTGTCCCTTTCTTTCCTCTCCAAAGCCATGTGTCACAATACTTCGTTCACACAAACTTTTCAATAACTTTACAGAGACCACTGCAGACTTAATCTTTCCTCAGTGTAAAAAACCAGATAGCCAGTGTCATTAGCGATGACTGTTTTCTCTACCCTTCAAAACACTGTTGTACATTCAATCTTGTTAAAAATGTATAAGCATCAGTGCATTTTAATCACTGCAGTTTTCTAAAATCTTCTAGTAACTAGATCAGTGATTCTCAAACTTTTGTGCTGGTGACCCCTTTCACGTAGCAAGCCTCTCAGTCCAACCCCCCCATATAAATTAAAAACACTTTTTTATATAGTTAACACAATTATAAATGCTGGAGGCAAAGCGTGGTTTGGGGTGGAGGCTGACAGCTCGCGACCCCCCATGTAATAACCTCGCAACCCCCTGAGGGGTCCCAACCCCCAGTTTGAGAACCCCTGAACTAGACCCTTAAAATCTTCTTTCCCTTATTTAAATGTCAAACAAAGATGTGATTTTATTTTGTTGATCAGTTTTCTCAGGACCTTAAGGGATTTAATTGTTTGATGCATTTAATCTGTATGAGTTTATCTCAGCAATACTTGTTTCTTTCATAGGGTTCCTATAATTGGCTAATTGATTTGTTTATCTGAGTGTCTGGCTGTTAAGATGAATGTGTAGTGTTGCTGTCTTTCTCTGGTGATGTATTACTCACACAGAGCTAGCAGGAAGGAAAGAGTTGGAGACCCATTAAGTTTATTTTAGTTTTTTAAAGCTCTAACTTAAAATATTTTTAAAGGATACATTTATTTTGTGAGGTAAGAGGAGAAAGCAACTCCTAACACACATAACACAAGCTGATATAAATGCCTTGCCAATATGGAGCAAGTGAAAATACTGAATGCTCAACAGAATTAAAATCTTGGGTCAGCCATTTGCAGATTTGAAGTGTGAGTGTTTTCCCTGCACTAAAATCACAGATAGCCAAATATGAAAATGTTGGTCACAGTCAGATGGCTTATGATTTTATATTTCCAGCAGTGGATTTGCTAACTTACCTTGCTTTTGCTTTGTAAAAGCTTTAAAGGCTAAACAAACTGAAATTATTCTGCCTTTTGTCTGTGTGTCCTAACTGTTATCACAATGAAGTCAATCAGCATGAAATTATCCCACAAGTGAAGTTCCCAGGCAAAGAGAACGCAAGCAACATGAATAATGTATTGCTCATAACTGAAGCACTGAGTCAAGTTCACTGTGTATACTTTAGTTATAACTGCGGAGAAACCACAGTAAGAATAAGAAATTCTCACAATAGTTAAACTGGTTTTTAATGACATTCAAACTATAGTCAGACCCATTAGATTCAAACTTGTATTTCTGGTTTACTCCCATTTCAAGAGAATGACTGTAAATTAAATGTTAATTGTTACTTGAGCACTTAGGTCCCTCATGAGAATGAAATACTATTCGATATTGCGGCAAATTAGGAGTGAATCATGCAGAAAATAGATTAAACACATTTGTCATTTGTCCCAGTCTTATCCCTGAAGTGGTGGTCTCCACTGTTCAGCAGCACATTGCCAACTGCTGAAGAAAGAGCCAAATGAATTCTCCATTCTGCCCAGGAAAACTAGGCCAGAGGGCAAAGAGGCAAATGCTGCAATTCAGGGGCCGGATTCTCCACTGCCTTTGTAGCCATTGACACTTGTGCAAAGTGGTTGTCAAATTTTCCTGTCACAGTCCAGGGCAGCTGTATTTCCCCCTCATTGCCTACCAAGAGCACCCACTCTAGGACCCCGGCCAACAGTAATACATAACCTTTGCATTTAATACAATAGACCCCAAAGAAACAAATAATTCAATAAAGTTTTTCAAGAATATTGCAGGAAATTGCCATGTGTCACAGCTCCTAGTCTGATTTAGTAGTGTTTTGCTCTCACTTTGCGCAGGTGTAAATGACACTCTTGCAGGGGATAATAATAATAATAATAATCAATAATAAATAACACCTCACTGTTGTATAGCAGATTGTGGAGAATCAGGACCTGCAAACAGAATTTTCCCTTTGGTTAGATGTTCAACTCATTCTCTACCTCATCCGCAGTTTGCGTAAACTAGCAGTAGAACCTGACCATACCCATCTTTAATTTTTCATGTGAAATGAAAAGCACCAGCCTGAAAGCCCTGGAGACCTGTTCTATATTTAGCCACAGAATACTCATAGGGAATGATCACTTAATAATTGCCATGTTCTGTTCATTCCCTCTGAAGCACCTGGCACTGGCCACTGTTGGAAGACAGAAGACTAGGCTAGATAGACCATTGGTATGACCCACTCTGGACATTCTTAGTCTCTTATCGGCTATACCAACAGCAGTGTCTGTTTTAGGGTTTTATACTGCCATCTATCACCGTGGTATCTCAGCACTTTTCATGTAAAACCTATCAGCAGTAATGGAGTCTCTGGATCTTCTCCCTTTTGGAGGATAAAAGCTCTCCTTGGGGTATGTTTTGTGTGTTTGTTGGAATTGTGTGGGGTTGTTTGTTCATTTTGGTTTTTTAGGGAGGAAGGGAATAAATAAAAGAGAGGGTTAGTATTGTATCATTCTTGTCAGTGATCATCATTGGGTAGGATGACACTTTATAGTGTGAGGAACTCTTATAGGATGAGCAGATTTTTAAAGGTTATTTAAGTGTCTGAAATCAATAGGAGCTAGGAACTTTTGCAAATTTCACTAGGCGCATCTCTACAGCTTTAAGTATGTAAATACCTTTACAAATCTGGCCTCAGGGCTATTAATTCCCTGCCCTCTGTGCTAAGACAGACAGCATGCTGCTAATTGTGATATGAACACTAGGGCCCAGCTCCTCGGTTGGTATAAATTGACATAGCTCCATCAGTTATACTGATTTACACCTGTTAAGGATCTGGCACTGGGAACTGGATTGACATCATCAACTGATTGCACATAAACCACTTTCCAACCATGAGATTAGAACCAACCTGTAATGTGAGCACTCCCAACCTTGGCTAGAGGAGACCCAGCGAGTTAGAGTAGTTGGTCTTTTCAATGTCTAACTTCTTTGGCTGCATGAATCCTCTCTTGTAACTACAGCTGGATGAATAGTGAGAAATATCATTTAGAAACATTTCAGAAGCTTCTACATAGAAATTTGCTTCAAATATATTTGAACCCTTTTTATGTGTTTTCATGACCCTTCCCACCAGGTCTGATCCCATTTTGATGCTCTACAGAAATCACCCTAATTTTCTTCCTCTGAAGATCTGACCGGTGTAAATGTGAGTATATGAATGAGTGAAAGAGAACTTGCCAGATGAAGTTGACTAAACAGATTAAAAAAAAAGAAAATCTCCAAATGGAAAGTCTCAAAGGAGGCAGTCAAGTTGAGTTAAGCAGAAGGAGGCAAGGGAATAGGTGGATGTAAAATTAGGTGGAGAGTTTTATGTGAAAAGCTGTAGAATTATTTTTATTGGGTTCAGAATTGGATAGGAAAGCACAGGATGGGTTAACATAATCTTATTCCCCAGAGTGGGAAACTAGCCTGGCTTCAGGATTTTGGACCCCTTGAAGTTCAGAGCATAGGGATTTTAAAAGAGCATAAAAAAGGGATTGTCAACAGTTTAGACGGAAGTTGGTTAAGACATGAATTATCATTTCAGTAGAGTCCTGGTGAAAGAAAGAAATGAATTCTGGTAGTGTTTTAGAGATGGTAACAGGTTGACTAAACAGACAAAGGAAATAGAGGAGGAAAAATATCTATGGTCAAGAAGAGAGACAAGGTGGGTGAGGTCATATTTTATTGGCTTCTGCTGGTGAGAGGAACAAGTGTTTGAGCTACACAGAGCTCTTCTTCAGGTCTTTATCATAAGAGCGACACCAAGATTTTTGTCTTGACAGAAAAATTAGTTTGAGTTATAGTTGTAGTTACAGTTATAGTTATAGTCAGAGACATGGAGAAAAGACTTTCCATCTAGGAAAAGTACTTCAGTTTGTGACAGTTATGACAAAGCTAAAAGATGAGGTAATGAGGATAGAAGAATTAGAGCACAGAAGGAGCTCTAGAGTTGGACGGCATCTGCACAGAAGTGATAGCCATGACAGATGCTAGCAAAGAGAGAGTCCAGAAAAAAGAAGAGACAGGTAGAAGAGGAAAGGGAAATGGATACCTTCAGGGTTTGAGGCTTTAGATGAAAGGGTGAGGTAAAGATGTAAGAATGCTATCAGAAATTTTAAAAAGAGATAGACACAATTCAACACAGAAGAGGAAATTGACTGGGATACTGGCTTCTTTCTCAAGGCTATCAAAAATACAGGGACTATTGAAATATTTCATTATTTTCCTCAATTGTTAAACTGTACATTTTTTGGAATAAGGACTATGTCATCTTATGCATTTATACAGTACTCAGCACAATGAGGCATGAAGTCTTTGTGGTTTACTGCAGTACAAATAAAAACAATAACAACTAGGGGCAGGAGATAATGCTGCCCGCTTCTTGTTTACAATGTCACCTGAAAGTGAGAACAGGCATTTGCATGACTCTGTTGTAGCCGCCATTGCAAGATATTTATGCGCCAGATGCGCTAAAGATTCATATGTCCCTTCATGCTTCAACCACCATTCCAGGAGACGTGCATCCATGCTGATGACAGATTCTACTCGATAATAATCCAAAGCAATGCAGACCGACGCATGTTCATTTTCATTATCTGAGTCAGATGCCACCAGCAGAAAATTGATTTTCTATTATGGTGGTTCGGGTTCTGTAGTTTCTGCATTGGAGCGCATGCCCTACACTTGGTACCTCTCAGATTTTGGAAGGCACCTCAGATTCTTAAAACTTGGGTTTAGTTCTGTAGCTATCTTTAGATATCTCATGTTGGTATCTTCTTTGTGTTTTGTCAAATCTGCAGCGAAAGTGTTCTTAAAATGAACAACATGTACTGGGTCATCATCTGAGACTGCTATAACATGAAATATATGGCAGTATGCGGGTAAAACAGAGCAGGGAACATACAATTCTCCCCCAAGGAGTTCAGTCACAAATTTAATTAACACATTTTTTTAATGAGCGTCATCAGCATGGAAGTATGTCCTCTGGAATGGTGACCAAAGCATGAAGAGGAATACAAATGTTTAGCATATCTGGCACGTAAATATCTGGCAATGCTGGCTACAAAAGTGCCATGCAAGTGCCTGTTCTCACTTTCTGGTGACATTGTAAATAAGAAGTGGGCAGCATTATGTCCTGTAAATGTAAACAAGCTTGTTTGTATTAGCAATTGGCTGAACAAGAAGTAGGACTGAGTGGACTTATAGGCTCTGAAGTTTCACATTATTTTGTTTTTGAGTGCAGCTATGTAACAAAAAAAAGCTACATTTGCACTTTCACAACAAAGAGATTGCACTACAGTACTTGTATGAGGTGAATTGAAAAATACTATTTCTTTTGTTTGTCATTTTTACAGTGCAAATATTTGTAATAAAAAATAATATACACGGATTTCAATTAGAACACATAATACAATATATATGAACAAATAGAAAAGCATCCACAATATTTAATAAATTTCAATTGGTATTCTATTATTTAACAGTGTGATTAATCACACGATTAATCGTGCGATTAAACACGATCCAATTTTTAATTGTGATTCATTTTTTTGAGTTAATCGCATGAGTTAACTGCAATTAATCGACAGCCCTACTTACCACTAATGAGAATTTGTTGTTATTTAATAGGTAGAGAAAAATACACATCCTCTAAAACAGTGGTCTTCAAACTGGAATGTAAGATACTGGGTCACGGTGGCCCTGGACAGCACCGCCAACCGGGTCATTAAAAGTCCCATTGGCGGTGCTGCCCAGCTAAGGCAGGCTAGTCCTTACCTGTTCTGACACCGCGCTGCACACCGGAAGCGACCAACAGCAGATCCGGTTCCTAGGCGGGGGGCTTCCAGGGTTACAGCGCAGTCCGTGGTGCCAGGACAGGCAGGAAATCTGCCTTAGCACCCCGCTGCGCCACTGAGCGGGAGCTGCCCGAGGTAAGCCCATGCCCCAACCCTGTGCCCCAATATCCTGTCCCAGCCCTAAGCCCCCCCCCAACCTGGAGCCCCTTCCTGCACCCCAAACCCCTCATCCCCCCGGCTCAGAGTCTGCACCCCCAGCCCAGAGCCCTGACCCCCTCCCACACCCCAATCCAGAGCCTCCTCCCACACCCTGAACCCCTCATTCCCAGGTCCCCGCTGCAGCCCTCCCTCCCCACTCCAACCCTCTGCCCCAGCCCTGAACCTCTCCCACACCCCAAACCCCTCATCCAAAGCTCCGTTGGGTCACGGGCATCAACAACATTCTTCAACTGGGTCACCAGAAAATAAGTTTGAAAACCACGGCTCTAAAACATCCTCATCTATTATATGTATAATAGTGTCCCTGGACAGCATTGAGAACTTTAAGGGAAAAAAATCTTTAAAAACTGTTTCTTCTTTCATTTCTTATTCATGTGAATCTTCCTGTTAATACCCTTTGTGCTGCATTAATAATGAAATCTGTGCCCAAATCTAGCATGTCTAACTGTCAAAAAAAGTGACAGAAAATATATTCATCTTTCTTATCTTCTTGGTGTTAGAGGGAATATGTGCTGATGATGTGGAATCACTGCACCAACTTGTGAATGATGAATTAAATGAAAGGGCTTGCCCAGTGAACACACAGAGAGAGAGAAAACATGTTGCAATGTGCCTATAGGACCTCAATTGCTGGCAAGCTTCTAGCTTAAAATAACCCAGTGTCCAGCAAAATAATGAGTTCATTTCCGTGTAAAGGGGCTCAGTGTTCTCCCCTCCCCTCAGTGATTCACTAAGTGCTTTTCTACTGTCAAAAATCAGTCCATGAATGTGGAGGGAGAAATAAAATTAAGTCTTGGTAAATCCCAGCTGCATTTCTTCTTTTGAGTATGCTCCAATGTTTCTGAATAGCCGTGAAAGTGCAGTCTCTGCAGGTGAACTTTGCAAACGGTTTTTCACATGGATTCCCCAGTGATGGGAGATTGCGTGTCTATCAATGTCTGTTAAAGCAGCAGAGAAAATGCTGCTGGCCTGTGAGACAATTAAGGATAGCAGCCCCACAGATCAATGGTGCTTAGTCTCTATTTGTACACTTAGCAAGCGGGTGTTGGTGACATCCCTCCAATCACACTCATCCTCCTCCCCTTTTTCTGGTGTTCTCAGGTCTGCATCTATGTGTAAACAGGATGTGGGGCTGTACTGAAATGAATTCAAGTGCTATACACCTCCATCCTCACCTCTCACTGCAGTATATATCCCGCTTAGAACATCTGCTTCACATAAATACAAGGAGAATTCAGAATATGCTGAGAAGAGCATGTCTTGGAATTATTTATCCAATTCCCATGCTTTTAAAAAAAAATACTTACACTCTGGAAAGATTAATACACCTAAGTGTTTTTTTTTCTGAAAAACCATGGTATATATTTTCAATTATTAAAATATATGATAATCCCATTGAGAAAAGCATATCTAGTTATTCAGTTTGAAGTCATACTAAAAAAGATGCCCATCCACAAACTGTAGGACCATGACCCAATTCAGGATGTGTAGCTGTAGGTACACAATTTTATGTGTAGCTGTGCAATTTAAGATAACCAGCCACCAGAAAGCTATGTAAGTTAGAATTCAGAGCTGTGCAAAACCTTTATAGTGGAACTACACAAAAGGATTTCATTACAAATTCATTCAAATGTCATTAAAAATTCAAAACTCCAATCTTCAATGATAGATTTGCCCTGCTTCTGAGAGAACCTAGGCTCAGTTGCTGATATTTCATGAAACCCATGCAAAGCTTATAGCTTCATATGGTGCTGCTATGAAACAGGGTGAAATTCAGCAGTTACAAATTATTAATTAATTAGTGCTCAAACTGGAGGTGCTGGATGAGAGAGGAAGGATGTCTCACTGGTTAGGGTGCAAATGTAGCATTCTAGAGACAAGAGTTCAATGCACTGCTCCTCTACAGATTTTGTGTCACTTTGTCTGTCTGTGAATCAGTTCTCAACCCATAAAACAGGAATAACAGCACTTCCCTCCCTCACAGGGGTTTTCTGACTGAGAGTAAGTGCACTAAAGACTATGAGGTGCTCAGATACTGTGGTAATGGAGGTCATATAAATCCCTAAGAGAGATTGAATTTTACTTTCATTGTTTGGGGACATTTGAACCTGAAATACAAAGTGCAACTCAAAGGTGGAAAAACACATGGATTGAAACCAAAGGACATGTTTATGTGAACTCATCCAGAGCGAAATCTTTTTCACCCTGAGATTTGTGCTGCTTTTTAGAGAAAGTCAAAACCTTTCAAAGCAGAATGCTGTTGCTAAACCTGAACTATTCTAAATCATTTTGACCTTCATCGTTTTGCTTTCCTGGTTTTTGTTTGTCTTTTTTTTTTTCTTTTACTTCAGGGTATCATTTCCCTCTCACAGTCATTCCCTCTTTACCATACTCTCTCCCTCAGCATTGGTTAATTGAGCCATAGTGACATGAAATACAATAGAGTACAAACGGCTAAGAAGAGAGAATATAAATGATAGAGGCAGCTCTAACATAAATGGAACTGGCAGGTAGGAGAGAGAGAGTAACATTGAAACCCATGAAATATTTTGAACGTTTATAAGTAGCTCAGGTGCTTCATTTTATGTAACCATCGAACACATTTTATAAGCCAATAACAAACTTAGCAGGATGAAAAATCCTAGACTCACAGGAACAAGATCATGTTATTGACTCGCCTTCTGGAAGTAGAATCTAGTTAAACATCAACATAACGTTATGACTATACAGAAACTGATGTTTATTATGATATTTCCAGAAGAGTGTCCATTTTCGAAGTAGGATGGCTTAGACAATAAGCTCCGGTTTGAAATAATTAGACTTCCTGAACCGCAGTTTAAAATCCTAGCAGGAGCAATTCTTCTCCTTCATCTTTTAAAGTAAAATAAATAAGTTCATGGTGTGACGGTCATCTGTGTGAACTCTTGAGACCAAGGCTCTGTCTGCTTTGCATAGGCATTAAAGATGGCACTTTTCATAAGAATAGGAGTTGCCCTGGCACCACTGTCCTTGGGCAAATTTTCCCCTCCTTCCCACCATTGTGATATATCAATTGCTTACCCCCTGTGTATTTAAATACTTATATCATGCATATCACCATGGTGCCCGAGACCTTATAAATTCTGAAAGTCTTTTTTAACAAGTACTCTACTTGTGTTGGAGTCTGTGGAGTTACTCCAGATTTACAGTAGCATAACCAAGAGAATAATTCAGCCTATTAAACTTCTTTCAATCTCTCCCTCCCACATAGATTTTTTTATGATGATTGCTGTGGGAAAGCGAAGTCAGATAAGTGAGTTTTGCATTTTGTTCTGCAGGAGGTGAGATGTATCCACAGTGTTGCCAACTTTCATGATCTTGTCATGATAATTATTGTTTTCCTTAAAGCCCCAGCTCCTGGAGTCAAGTGGATGTGATGATTTCAGCCTTCATTCTTAAAGAAAAAGTAAGTTTGTAGCCCTCATGACTTTTGAGAAAGCTTCAAAATGTGACCCTAGTGCACTCTAAAGGCTCAAGAAGCAGAAGGCAAATAAAAATTATTTTTACATAATCTCATGATTTTTGGTGAACCTGACTCATGATTTCTGAAAATTTGGGCTTGGCAATACTGTGTCCAGCAATGAGTTCCACCATCATGGACCATCTGCCAAGGAAGCAGTGTCCCTTATCCTCTTGACTTATGCCCTGGTAGTTGATGAACCCCCCGGGTGGCTACAATTCAGTAGTGTTAAATTTTTCTAATTTGCAAAAGGAATTAGAGATACTTTGGGGTGAAAGCCCACCCTGTTTCTCGAGCTTTGGAGGAAAGGGTGCCGGAGTGTTGGGGCTTTTGGTGGATGTTTAGGGCACTCTTTTATATTCAATTGTGTATTGTAATTTATGGGACAGGCACCAGGATGATGAACACCTATAGCTATTTTAAAGCACATATATAATGTGTAAAGGTAAGTGCCCTGTTGTGCCACCCTAAAGTACAGCAACTGTTTATTACACAACTAGGCACATTAAAATAAGTAGGGCAGGTACTATTCAATACACATAAAGAACCTAAATAAATAGTTGGGCCCTAAATAAATAAAAGTATAAATATGATTATTTGTAGCAGGAATAATAGGAGAGAACGGCATATTCAACTCCAGTCTTGCAAAGACACACACACTGCTGTATCAGTATGACCAAGATCAGGCCCTTAAGTGAGTTCCTCGGGGTCGTAGATACAAACACATACCATTACAGACAGATATAAGTCATAAACAACTGGCAAATCTCCAATTCCTCCCTGATTGATTTAAAAGTATATTCCCTGAGACAATGGAGAATGATTTGTGAATTTAACATGTGTATTATGTTTCCGTCTAGTTTTACCACACAACATTTGGGTTCAAATGTTCAGTGGTTTTGATTAAACACTTGTGAGAATGAGTTATTCAAGACATTGGGGGGAAAATAAAGCCCAACAAATCTTGAGGGATATTATGGGATAAACTCAAAAATGGTGTGAATTAAATTAAACTGTTGGCTTACTTGGTAGGCCCGCTGCAGGTGCTCTTTGTCATCTAATACCATTGCATAGCATACAGCGTTTCTCTTTGTCTTTTCTTCTTCTTTTTTCTTTAAAGTTAAACTTGGCAAAAGAGACCCCCATTGTACTGTAGTCAGGAAACCAACAGGTAAGATGGATGGTGGTGCCCAGCCTTTGCGTAGGTAATAAAATCATTCAAAATGACAACATCCCTGTTCATGCTAATATTTCATACGGTATGTACCGGTCCACAGAGGCCTCACCTACTTCTCCACACACACAATGTATAATTGTCAGTGACAATGAGAAAGATGTAAGCTGAGAATTATGGTGGGGTATGTTTCTATAAGGGAGAGGCTGGATGGCAGCCACTGGAGGAGTATGGATCCACTGTAATGTTAATAGAGCACTCATGATAATGTGATTGTGATATAGTGTTTGCGAATGGAGAGTCTCCCCTCTCCCCCTGCCCCCTCTCCCCCATTCAGTTTCCATTCCAGCTAATGCTGGGATCAAAAGGGCAAAATTACCATGCAGAATAGTTTCTTTGTAATATTCCTTTATAGCCCTAGATTGGTTCAGTGGCTACATGCCACCCCTGAGAGACGGAGAAGAGAGCAGCCATCTGCATCATGAAGAGAGGTGATGTGACTTGCCCAAGGTCACTCGACAGGTCAATGGCAGAGCTGAGAATAGAGCCCAGGTCACTTGAGTCGCAGTCCAGTGCCCTATTGACCAAAGCACGCTGCCCTACAAAAATCATGCAAACCTTTAGCTGTAATTCACAATCATCATCATCATCAGGTGATCAACTTTGCTGCAATAAGTAATCCTGCAAGGCCTTGCATGGGTAACAGCAGGGTTCCTGAAACTGTGGCGCTTCAGTGCAAGGGCAAGTGAAGGCTCTGAGTGATTGAAAGGTGTCGTCCTCTGCACCGTACAACAGCAATCGTTAAACTCCTTGTGCAGTTTCCGCCTTACTCGTAAGGTAACAGGATAAAATAAATAGGTGTAGTATGAGAGGAACATGGACACATTGAAGAAGACATAGGCTTGTGTGACCCCTTATTATACTAATAAGATGCTTAGCTAGGTTCTTCCCTATTACTTTTGGGAGAAGTAACTTGCTAGTTGTGCAGCCACCCTCCAATTAGTGCAGGGAATAGCTCCCCTGAACTCCCTGTCCTGTTCAATGTTTATATGCACAGCCCTCTGCACCTTCATTGTTCAGGATCAAGTAATCCAAGCAGGATCCTAACAGCACTTGTGTAAGGTGAGTCTATGTTATTGTTACCCTTTTACAGATGGGAAAACTGATGCAGATGTGTGAAGTGACTTGCTACAGTACCAGCACTGGGACTAAAACTCAAGAGTTGCTGTTTCCCAGTCCCTCTTTGGGTTCAGCAGAAGAAGGGGGAGTTTTGCCATTGACTTCAGGATTTTACCCCATCTCTCTCTCTGCCTACCTCACCATTTACTTTTAAGCGTTTAAGACTCAGTTTCACCCACTCCTAATTCTCCATCATTTCCTGTGCGGAAGCACATATGACAAAAGTTCTGAAATACGATTTGCAAAACAATGAGGATTCCCCCCCCCCCAAAAAAAGTCTATAGACTTGATGGATGAACACATTATAATGTCAAGTATCAG